TCTTCTTCTTCTTCTTCTTCTTCTTCTTCTTCTTCTTCTTCTTCTTCCTCTTCTTCCTCTTCTTCCTCTTCTTCCTCTTCTTCCTCTTAAATAGCTCACCAGGTCTGACTTGTGCTGCTACATATCACGTGTGGCCATCCACTAGGGAGCATGGCGTCCCTGGTGGAGACTACATTCTTAAGGAAAACTGGTTCTCCCTTCCTGAGAAGCACCAGTTATCAGTAGCTCCTCAGCGAGGGCGGGGCTTGTGAGCCTCCTGCCCCGTGCCTTGATCTTGTGCAGCTGACAACAGCTCCTGTGAGGTGATGACAGCAGCAGGCCTGGCATGCCCAGAAGATGCAGTGCTGCCCAGTCTTGCCTGACCCCGGCCCCTGGGTGGGGGAGGGACTCACATGCCCCAGTGGTGGCTCAGCGCTCACTCCACAGATGCTGATTCTCACTCCCTGACGAGATTTGCCTTTCTGCGTTACCCACTGTCCACTGCAGACACTTCTGAGTCTGAACAGGGCTAACCTACGGGGCAGAGACAGGATTTCCAGAGGGCATGTTGCTATTACATACACTTAGCAAATAATAACAGTAGTTCAGCCTGGAGCCTAAATTTCCCCAGCCTTGGGCCCTTGTCCACATTGACAGTACTAGGCATGTTCCTGTAAGCAGGGCTTCTGTTTTATTTTTTTAACAACACCAAATTAATTTAGAAGTATCTTTCATGTTTAAGATTGTTTTTGGAAATTATTATACTGTATTTTTATTCTTATTTGCAGTTGATAACTACTAGCAAAAGCAAAATATTAAATATTAGCAGGGACTTTAAAATTGCTCTTAATTTTATAAGTGAAATAACACTAAATAAATTTTAAAAGACTTTATAACCAAACGCAAAATGAAAGTAAAGAAAAATGGATTCCAAAAATTAAAAAAAAAAAAAAAAAAGAGTACACTATTAAAAGAAAGAAGGGCCAGGAGTGGTGTCACATGCTTTAATCCTAACACTCAGGAGGCAGAGGCATGTGGATCTTTGTAGCTCTCAGTCCCTCATAGTCTACATAGCAAGTTTCAGGACAGTCAGGGCTACATAAAGAAACTTTCGCTTGTTGTCAGGTGGTGGTGCACACCTTTAATCCCAGCACCTGGGAGGCAGAGGCAGGCGGATCTCTATGAGCCTGGTCTCCAGAGTAAGTTCCAAGACAGCCAAGGCTACACAGAGAAATGCTATCCAAACAAACAAAACAAAGCAACCCTCCCCCCTCCAAAAAAGGGGACCTTCTCTTCAGAAAGAAAGAAAATTGATTTGGTTAATATCACAAATAAAAGATCTTGAGGTTCACAAATGCACAATAATAAAGTATATATAAGATGATAAGTAACAATTCACTACTTAGATTTTTTTCCTTTATCTCAAAATATTTCTGCATGCTTCCTAATACATCTTGCTTCCTAATACAGTCTAACATGTGAAATTTTTGTTTTTAGCTTATACTTGCCCCAGGAGTAGAAGAGACTGCTTTACTAATTCGACAAATTGCAGACCACAATTTAATGACATCGGAGAGAGATCCTCGTGAATGGTTGGATAAATCCTGGGTTAAAGTTTCGCCATCTGAGGTTGCTTTTTCTAAATGTGTAATTGAGACATTGGTGAAGCAAACAAATACAAATACCCTAACCCTTCCTGATAACTTCCCACACTCCCCAAACTGAGTCATAAACTCAATGTTTTAGCACAGTCTACAGGCTAAAACAGCTCACTCTCAGAAGACCACTGACTGACGAGGCACCACCCTGTCTTGTAGGAAGAGATGAGCCTCCTTGACTTTCCATGTGTTAACCCACTGGTAGCTCAGCTCATGCTGCACCGAGCACCTTCCCTGCACTGGCTGTTGAGTTCAGCTCCCGCTGAGCTTCAGGAACTCCTGCCTCAGGTCCCAGACAAAGTCCTGAAGGTGGGTGAGTGCACAGGCTCCCGGAGCCACCTGTTTTCACTGGAGCCATTTCTAAAAGAAGCTCTCTGGCTTTTCACATCACACAGGAAAGAAATAATTTACTTGAACTAACTTTCATATGGAACTGTCTTTAGCTGCCAACCACATTATACAATTTAAAGCTATCATAGATAATTCAGTACAGTTTATCACATTTAAGGCATTTTGAAATATCACCATTCCTAAATTATAAAAGGAAGTTTTATTTGTCTGTTTTAATTGTCATCTTGGACGCTTATTGCCTCAGTCTAACCCAGGCCTACTTAGTCCTGTAAGCTTTTAGCCATTGTACAATCTAACCCAGGCCTAGAATGTTTTCAGCCTCTGAGACTTACTGCTATGGCTCAGAGGTTAAGAGCACTGGCTGCTCTTAGGAGGAGCATCTATAATGCTAGAATAATAGATCACAACCATCTATAATGGGATCTGGTGCCCTCTTCTGGTGTGCAAGCATACATGCAGGCAGAAAACGATACATAATAAATAAATAAATCTTATTTTAAAAAAAAGCTCACCCTACTTGTTCTTTCTCTAGTTGATTTGATTCAGCTGTTTGGCTCAGACTCCTCTCCCAGCTGACTAATTCAACATGGCTTCTCTTGGCCCCTGAATTGCTCTACTTGGCCTCAAACTATCTCAAGCAATCTTTTCTAATCTTCTGGCTCCTCTTGTTCTCTGGTTCGTTCTGCCTTCACCTGTGTCTAGCTTGTTCTCTCATTCAACCCTTCTCTGTAAACCTCTCCTGGTAAAACTGCCTCCACTTAAGTAGCTTCCTTGCCCTTAAGTAGTTTCCCTTTCCTCTCTTCTCCTGAAAGTTGGGCATATTCTATTCTTTCAAGTCTTTCTCTGATTCGTCACTGTTTCTGCCACTCAATTAGACATCATTTTCAAACATGGGTGCTTCCTTCTACAAACTATCTTTACCCTCATTGTTTGGGATTAAAGGCATGTACCATCACACCTGGACCTAAACTTTTCTTTACCTGAAACTGGCTCTGTACCAGGATGGCTTTGAACTCAGATCTGGTTGCCTCTGTTTCCTGGTGCCAGAGCAGCCATTTTCTACAATATTCAGTTAAAACATGTTTACATTACCCCTTCAAAGAACTTTTACCATAACAGGAAAGAGAGCTTTAGTGTTATTGGTGATATTTTAAAATTCTTAGCGAAGAATAGTATTCACCTATAAGTTATATAATTAAAAATTCATTGTATTTGTTGTGAACCTTAAACTTTTCTAAAAACAGTATAAAATTCCATTACAAGCTAAAAATAACATGTAAATTACAATGTTCTCTTTTAATTACATTATTATTTTTAATTAATTACATTATTATTTTTAATTTTTCAGCATTTTTGTAGCATCACTTCCTTGTTCAAGATTAATTCTTCCTCCATGACAATCTCGTCTCAAATTTCATCACTTCAGGAAGATATGAATCAAACTGGTCCCTGTATTTCTCAGAGTTCAGCTCCTATCATTCAAGAACATGGTGAATATTATTCCTATGAAGACTCTGAAGAGACAGTGTTAAAAAGCACAAGTGCTTCTCCTCTGGAGCTGAGAGAAACACCATGCACATTGCCATCTGCAGCACCGCACAGTCAGACCAGCTCCTGGGAAGACACCAGTCGTAGCCCTAACACAGTGCCAAACAACCCTTTCCTAACTAATATGGACCCAAAGAAAGTGAGGTGGCACTCCTTCCCGAGCCAGAGTGCCTCAGACTCAGATGTCTTTTCTTTGGGCCTCACACAAATAAGTTGTGAACCCAAAAGGCTACCAACTGACACTCAGAGGAGAGTTGCTCATAATTTTGTAAATTATCCTGAAGCAGAAGGAACCAGAAATATGCAAGCGTCCACCCTGGTCTTTTTACCAGAGGTCTCTCAATCCCACCTCCATTGGGACTTTAAGAAAAACAGTGGTAGAAAACAGATTTATTCCTTCAACTCAAGCTGTGGAGCAGAGCAGACTACCCACCACAAATGGTTCTCTCAGAAAGATGGCTTCTGCAGGAATCAGCCAGGGTGTCTGCAGGATGAGTTGGAAGACCCCACATGCAGAAATTCAAACGCTGGGACTAACAGGACTTTTGGGGGAGAACTGCCATCTATTCCCAGTTGGGGTTCATTCTTTGTTTCTGATTCTAATGTGAATCAAAGAGGATTCAATGGCCTTAATTTCTACCAAGGGGCTGGAAACTACTTAGGACAGAGAAGGCTCCCTGTTTCATCGCCTAACTGGAGAGAGTATGAAACACCAACAGGTAACACTAATAGTTGATACAATTACTTTCAGTTAGAATTTTAAAAGCTAAAGCTGGGGGCTAGAGAGATGGCCCAGGGGTTAATAGCTCTCACAGGGGACCCACATTCGGTTCCCAGCACCCACTTTGAGTCACAATACTCGTAACTCCATCTCCCAGGGATCCAATACCTCTGGCCTCCTTGGATACCTGCACACACGCGCACACACACACACACACACAACTAAAAATAATTAAAATGTTTTTAAATGATAACTCTGTATTCAAATTTTAATGAATGTTTGTTTTAATTGACACAATGTTCTCTTAACTTTGCATTAAAGAGAAAAATTAAACTTAGTGGGCTAATAAAATATTTCAAATTCTTGTAGTATCAAACAAACCATACAGTCAGCTTAAGTTTAAAATAGCACTCAGGAGGCAGAGGAAGGAGTAGCTCTGTGAATTCAAGGCCAGACTGATCTACATTGCGAGTTCTAGGACAACCAGGGTTACACAGATAAACCCTGTTACAAAACAAACAATATTAGAAAAAAAAAAAAGAAATTTAAAATAAAAATAGCAGACAAATAAAGCAGATGACCATGATTAAACTGAGGAATCAGCCTCTTTGTTAAGTGTGCATATTTATTTGGCTAGTATTTGTTAAGATATTAGGGGCTGGTGATAGCTCAAGCGCTAAGGTGCTCACTGTGAAAGCAAGTTTGAAACCCAGAACCCATATCCATTGTGGCCATGGCCTATAATCCCAGCACTTGGGAGAGACAGGTGGATCGTGGAGCCCCCTGCCAGCCAGCCCAGCATATTTGGCAACTCTGGGCCAGTAGGAGATTCTGTCTCAAAAAAAGTCAGAATGGATGGATCACCACCTGAGTTTGTCCTCCAGCCTTCACATGCACAGCATTCATGTGTAGCACACACAGACGCACACACACACAATGCTAGAACCTAGGTAAACCTTTTCAATGAATTGTTTAACTTCGTTGAAGGATGTTTTGGACTTGTCTAAACATTTTATCATACCACCTTTTAAAAAGGACTATTTTATTTTCTCATTTCTAGTCATTATGCTTTTATTTCTGTATAATTTCTTATTGCATTGTCCTGAACATATAGAACAAACTGTTAAGATCTCTGAAGGCATATGAATGTAGCTTTGCCATAACAGGAACTTGGGAGTAAGAAGGAAATTTAAGCTTCAAAACTTCTTTTCAGCTGGATGTGGTGGTGCACGCCTTTAATCCTAGCATTTTTGGGGCAGAGGCAAGCAGATCTCTGTGTGTTCAAGGCCAGCCTGGTCTACAAAGTCCAGGATAGGAAAGGCTACACAGAAAAACCCTGTCTGAAAAAACAAAACAAACAAAAAACCCTTCCCTTTTCATATGCTCCTTCATAAGATCAGAGAAGGGTCCAGAAAAACACCTTATATTGTGTAAGTTGTTAAAAGAGGGCCTCTTAATTGGCACTGTTGATCATCCTCTCCTGCTCCCCTGCCCTGCCCCTTGCCTCCTGATGGTTCCCTTCTGTTGTTCCCTGTCTAGTAGCTTCCTTCTGTTTCATGTCACATGTATTGTATTTCTTTTATCCCCACCCCTTGACCCTTGGTCCATTTTGTAGTCATCCATTTCCATGGTCCATTTGATGACCTATAATAACCCTGTACAGACATGCACAAATTACAATCTGAGCACCTCATGAAAGAAAAATCTGCATGGTTGTCTTTCATCACTTAAAGTACTTTCAGTTCTATCCATTGTTGCAAATGTTACGATTTCATTTTTTGTTAAAGCTGAACAAAATCCTGTTGTGTATATACACAGGGACGCTGTTAGTTTGGTTCCTGCTGTTTGGTTCTGATGTTCATAACAAGAGTCATGCATTTAACTGACGGTCTTTTTTTGTGCTTTGTTACAGCTGTTCCATAAATGAACCAGCTCTAGAACAAATTATACATGTGAATGCTATAGGTTCTTGAACATGTACCCTTCCCTATATAATCCTCCCATTTTCTCGATGTGAAAATTCCACGCTGTTTCTAAGTTTTGGGGCATACAGAGATGTGAAGTGTTCGCGTGTCCGTGCACGCAGACTGACGCGTGTGCACATGTATGTGGAAGCTGCTGTCCAGTGAGGCAGCCTCTTAACTAAGCCTGGAGTCCCTGAGGATACAGCTCATCTAGCCAGCTTGGCCAGGAGCCTGGCTCTGCTTTCGGAACTGCCATGCCCACCAAGTGTTGACATGAATGCTAGAACTCAGGTCCAGACATTGCACAGCAGATGTGATATTGGCTTATTTAATGTGCTTTCCCATGGCACACCATAGTGCCCAAATACTTTGTTTAAGATACATCATTTTTCAAATCAGTATTGGTAGTCTTGGGAAGTTTATCCAAAGGCCCTAAGATAATTTTCCACTTGTCCTGTATATCTGTACTTGTGATCTTTTTGATATAACTACCTACTACATTGCTTTTTAAACTTATTTATAACGGCACCTAGCTCATTAAGTTTGTCATAACACTGAGGAACAATTACTAAACTTTTAAAATTTTGCCTTCTTTTTAAAAACTGATCTAGTCAACCAACGTCCATAGGGTTAAGATCTAGGGCATTTAAGGTTAATACCAAGTTAATATCATATGTTGTAGGTATTGTTAATATTTACTATTGATGTGTCTTCTGGCAAAGCTGCTGTTAATCCTAAAGGGCTGTATAACCAAATCACCACACAGAGACTAGGTTTCTTTAGTTAATCTAGAACACAATGCTGGGCAATAGTTACTCCCTCCTAAACCTCCAAGCCCTCATAGTTTCCTAACATTTAGATTTTACCCATTATACTTGCTTTTTGTGAAATCTTAGGTCTGGTTCATTCTCTCCACGCTGTTTCAAGATCTCTCCTCCAGCTCTGTTCTCCAAGCTCTCTCTTGCCCTTTCTCCCCCCCTGCTCATTTCCTGTCCTCTGGCTCCTCCCCTCTCCTTGCTCAACATTGTGGCTAGTTGCTTTATTTTGGCCTATTTACACAAAGTTGAGACAGGATGCTTAGAATAAGTATCAATGCAATATCCGGATTGAAACCAGAGAGTCAGGCAGGGAGAAATCAGCATTTGAATGAACAAGGGTAAGAGTATACATTTCAAAAGAACATTATACCAACAATCACATATAATAAATTCATATAAAGTGAGTCATTCCAGGTCACCTGCTATCATACATTGGGACTGAGGACGATTTTCCCAGAACCAAGAACAAATTTATAGCTTACAAGCAGTAATCTTTTTAAAACAGCATCCTAGAAATGCTGGAGTGCTGGAGAGATGGCTCAGCACATGAAGCGCTTACCACCGAAGCTGCTGGGCTGAGTTCAATCCCTGGGGCCTAAATGCTGATAGGAATACAGACGCCAAATGTGGAGGTCCTTAAAACCCTCCCCCTACACACACACACACACACACACACACACACACACACACACACACACATACACATGTTCACATGTAGAAATTAAGTTAAATAAAGATGGTGAAGTGAAAGCTAAACAGCTAATAAATGTAAACATATTAAACACAGTATGAACAACATGAATGCTATACAGAGACAAGGAACAGAGCATGAGTGAGCTTAAAATCCTTCAGAGTGAGCCCCAAACATTTCTACTCTCAAGCATGTTGGTAACCTTCAGGAGTTAAAAAGTCTGCCTGAGCTATTTCCAATGGCTTTATTTAAAAGGCTTAGAGCCAGGAGAGACTTCAGAGATCTTAAAACTTTACAGAAGAGGACAGTAGAGTCTGCGATAATGAAAGATTCACACATTCTGTGTGCACACTGATTTTAAACAGAAGCCATAGGGTACAGGCGCATAAACGTTTTAAAAACATAAACCATTTTTCATAGCTACTTATCTCAATGGTTTTCCTTTTTCTCCCTTTGGCAGGCTTAATGTACTCACAAGTACCACAACCCAAAAAGCGACGTCTAATGTACGAAAAAGTCCCTGGAAGAATGGATGGACAAACCCAGCTGAAGTTTTCTTAAAGAACAGGAAGGACAATGCCACATGCCAGGTTCTACATTCTTACAATGATCCAGTAACAAAATTATTTAGGTTTGACTATACATCAAAGAAAGTACCGTTGTTTCCACATGTCCTCAGTGTTTCTATCACATAATCAATTTTCATAAAATACATTCTATGCTGTAACTTGCATATAAGTCCCCTTGTCTGATTTATCAATCAGTATAAGAAGCACAAGACCCCAAAAGTATTGAGATCCATGTGTACCTCGAAAGCCTTGTCTTTTAGAAATTTATTTTTCACCCCTGAAAAATGTGTGTGTGCAGGGTGTGTGCACGAGTGTGCGCCCTCGGAGGCCGCAGTGTCCTAAGCCCCCTCACAGTCTCTTCTTTCTGTTAAGATTTACTTTTTACTTTTTAAACTGTGTGCCTGCGTGCTGGTGTGTGTACTGAGTTGTATTGCCTGACAGCCTACTGGATCTGACTTGTATAATGTCTGTCGTTTCCCCAAGCTGTAGCACGACTGAAGGAGAAAGTAGATCCAAAGATAACTTTCCTTCAACTTTCATTGGTTCTTTGTGAATTTGACATCATGCACCCCAATCCCACTCATTTCCCCTACCCTCGTGCCCACCCTCCACCCCTGCAACCTCTCCCCTAACAGAGGAAAAACAATCTTGTGGACGCTGTAGAATGTCACAGTGTCCCACAGTATATCCTTTTGTCCATACTTCTTTGCTTGCAAATGTTCACTGCCGTGAGTCAGTCTGGATCGAGGCCTCTGGCTTCTGCTACACTATCAATACTGGGATTCCTCTCAGATATCCTGTTGTCCGGTGTAATGTCTTGGATGTGTAGAAACACCCTTTCACACACTTCAGGGTGGACTAACTCAAAGCCCTCGATCCGGGCCTGAGAGGGATCTTGGCTGGCCAGCCCACCAGCTATTCCGCAACCACAGCGCCAGGCGAGCTCTCCTGCCCTGCTCTGGCCGGCCCATCCAATGCTGTAGCCAGCAAGAAGCAAAGCCAGCTCTCCTGCTCTCCTGCTCTCTGAACTGGCTGGCTCGTCCACGCCCATACCATCAGGGCCAGACTTACTGTGCTGCCCAGTGAGGTGCAGAACCTGCTCTCCTGAATGCTGTGACAGTTAAGGGCCTGGCTACCTCACCTGCAACCCCAAGGCCAGCTCTACCGTGCTGCCCAGGCAAGGTGTAGTGCCTGCTCTCCCAAGTGCAGCATGAGAAACAAGTAGAAGCTCTCCCACACTCATACCCAGGCCAGCTCACCTGCAACCCCTGAAACCAGGGCCAGCTCTACCGTGCTTGCTGGGCAGTATGTGGGGCCAGCTCTCCAGAGTTCTGCAGCTGCCTGCGGTGGCATCAGCTCTCCTGCTCCTATGCCCCCAGGGCCAGCTCTTCCATGATGTCCAGGAGAGGGCTAGGGCCAGTTCTGCACAACCCTCAGACATCAACATGTCCCCAGATGGCAGCCCAGACTAGGACCCCATCACCATGGTGCCAGGTGGAATCAGGCTACTCACATTAGGCTGTTCCTCACTACCGTCAAGTCCCCAGTTCTGCCTCTCTGCGTTGTGCCCATACCCTTGTTTCTCTTTTATTTCTCCACCACTTACTTGCTCCTCTTAGTGGCACCTGGGGTCTCTTGAGTGTCTAGGGTTCTCAGGAGGGTCTCAGGAGTGCTTTGGCCCACCCGTGTACTATGGCAGTGGGGTTGTCTCGGGCACAGTCTGCCTTCCCAGGCCCACACAGAGCTGGACTGGTGCTCCTCAGAGGCCAGCCTGGTTGGAGGTTTGTTTGGCTTAGTTTGGGGGTTTTCATCTCTCACTCATCCCACAGAGCTGGTGTCATCTCAGGCTCTTTTTTTTTTTTTTTTTTCAAAGATTTATTTATTTATTATGTATACAGTATTCTGCCTGAATGTATGTGTACAAGCCAGAAGAGGGCACCAGATCTCATTGTAGATGGTTCTGAGCCACCACGTGGTTGCTGGGAATTGAACTCAGGACCTCTGGAAGAGCAACCAGTACTCTTAACCTCTGAGCCATCTCTCCAGCCCCCCAGGCTAGCTCTCTTATCCAGGCTTCCTGGCTGATAATTCTGCTTTTAATGGAAAATTCTTGTTAATTGAGATGGAGAACAGAATATATATAATGCTAATAGTAGAAAATAGGTGGTTGAAGAAGAAAAAAATTGGTAGTATAAAATTTCAGACAAGATTAAGCATATAATAAAAGCATTAAAAGGACAGCCACATTATGATTAATATGGAATCCAGCTTACTGATATCTGAATGATGCTTGGAATTAAGGGAGGGTGCAGCTAATGGCTTCCATTTTCTCCATTGTGATCTGACCAATGCTCTTGTATTTCCTCTTACTTATTCATGGTGAATGCCATGCAGAGCTATTTCAGAGAGCAGCTGTGGCCAGTAATTGAGGGCTGTTTTTTATGTTATGCTTATATTTACCTCTGGAGTTATTAACAAAATTTAACCCCAAATTCCACCCTCTGCACGCAACATTCCCACTCAGCAGCAAACAGAAGTCCGTGGGAGAAGACAAACCAAAAGACTGCTGTCATGGAAAATGATGAATAGGCAAAACTTTTATTTGCAAGCTCTTCACAGATTATTACAAACACAAACTTTCCTTCTAAAAGTGTCCCCAGTTAAATCAAAGGCACATCACCCCAATAAAATACTTGTGACATGAATGTTTGTTATCATACTTTCACACTTTGTTGTGAACATTGCAATGTTCTGAATGTAGATCACATTTTAAACATTTTTTAAAGGCATAAGCACATTTTTAAAAGCTACAAACACAATTATAAATTGTAAGTACAGGAACTACAGGAAGATCTAACCGCTTCGTACAGGACGGGCACCCTAACATACATTAATCTTTCAGTTTGCTAAGGAGCAGAGCCCTCAGGTTTTCTGTCCCATGAGACCATCTGCTCAGTGAGAAGTGAGAAAGGTGTCCTTTACAAAATCAGGGTAACAGCTTTTCCCCGGTTTCGTACTTTGTTTCATCTAGTAATTGTAAATTCTTATGAACAAATTTTATTAGAGTATAAAAATGTTAGGAAAATTACAAATACTCAGTTTTTTAAGAGAAAATGTTTCCCTCCCAAAATGCAGACAGCCAGTAAAGAAGACACGCCTGTCCCCAGGCAGAGTGGCACAGGTCTCAGGCGGGAAGAGATGCAGCTAGGAAACTTGGTGGTGAGGTCAGAGCACAAAACAAAGCGTGGATTTCTGTGGACTTTTGGCGCTAGCACTGGCTCTGGAAAACGGTTTTTGTGGGACTTGGCAGCAGTTGTCCATCACTCTGCACACAAAAGCTTCCTCAGCGAACCTCCCTGTTGGAGAGAGTTTGGTTGGTTTTCACTTCAGTGACATTTACTTGTAAAGTAACTTCTGCATTTCATAGGACACCTAATATTCACAAAGTAGAAAATAACCTGGGAATACAATAAAATAGGTAAGCCAGGTCTGGGACACACAGCTCATGACAGTGTTTTGTAGAAGAACTGCTCTGTGATGTGAGACAGTCTTACTTACTCAAGGCATGCTCCCTTTACTATGGAAATTATGCCTGATCACAGAACCAGTTCCTCAACGTGAACAATTTCCTTTTACAAGTACGTGCAAACGACGACCATTTACTGTGTAAACACAAAATTTGAAATCGTCCAGGACTAATAATCCTTGTCATTTTAAAAAATTATGGAGTTACACAGGGGTGGGGACTTCCCATGACGGGCAGCTGAGCTACACTCCCAATCCTTTACTTTGAGACAGTCTGACTTAGCCAGGTTGCTCTTGAACTCACACGGTTTTAACAGTTATGAATATCAGTGCTCTATTTGCACGTACACCTGCAGGCTAGAAGAGGGCCCCAGATCTCACTGTAGATGGTTGTGAGCCACCATGTGGGTGCTGGGAATTGAACTCAGGACCTCTGCAAGAGCACACGGTGCTCTTAACCTCTGTGCCATCTCCGCAGCCCACTGGCAGAGAAGCAGGGAGTGCGCTGCCTGAGCATGTGCACGCTAGCAGCTCGCCCTGCCCTGCGTGCTGTGCTCCCCCTGCGATGGACAAGACCTGTATTTTTAAAAAGCTTTTAATGAAGAGGATTCTCTGCTGAATCTTCCCGGAAACAGAAGTATTTGCCGCACTGCAGCGCAGGGGTTGCTGTCAGGAGGCAAAGGGGGCAGCTTGCCAGCCACAGGGTAGAATGCTGCTTCTCAGAACACCGGGAGGCTGTGATGCTAGCCAATCATTTCAAGATCCACTTTCTAAGGAAGTCTGAGATTCTGCTGGTCATTCGAAAATAGACCTAAATACACACATACTGATTTTTCATGTCAACAGGTATGGAACAAATATTCTCCTGATGCTGGCGTTCCAGGATAAACATGTCTAAAAGTCCACAGCTCTTGACTCACATGTCATTCTGAATCTGTTGGGAATGGGGTAACATCTGGATTAAGCCATTTCAAATCTGGGAGTTGGAGTGTAGTTTTCCTGTTTGTTTAAGTATATATGTTTTAAGTATATAATTTATAAATGTGAGCAGCTCTCAGCCGCCATGCAGGGGAAGGGGCAGAGAGAGAGAGGTACACATACACAGAGAAAGAGAGGGAGGGAGAGGAGAAGAAAAGAGAGGGAAGGAGCGGGGAACCAAATGTCTGGATTTTATAGTGAAGGGGAGGAGAAGCCTCCCCCTTGGTTTTTTACTCTGACTGAGTCTCTTTCTGTTGCATCCTGGTTCTCATTCCTGCCATGCTTGTGACTGCACCATACTGTGAATTCTTGTTTGTTTGAAGGTTCCGTTCATGTTTCATCGTCTTGCCTCTCTCTGATTTGTGCATGCTCTAAATGCTGACTTTTTATGTAGCTGGTTTATGTTTAGTTTTTAACTCTTGAGGTTGCACTTCCTTCTATAGACATGCTTGAAATTTGCATTTTCCCCCAAAGGCTTTAAACATCATTTTCTTTCTTCTTTCTTTCTTTTTCTTTCTTTCTTTCTTTCTTTCTTTCTTTCTTTCTTTCTTTCTTTCTTTCTTTCTTTCTTTCTTTCTAGGTTTTTCAAGACAGGTTTTTTGGTTTTGTTTTTGTGTAGCCCTGATTGTCCTGGGACTCACTCTATAAACCAGGCTGGCCTCAAACTCAGAAATGGATCTGCCTCTGCCTCCTGAGTGCAAGGAATAAAGGCGTGTGCCACTACCACCCAGCTTAAACTTCATTCTTTTTAAAAAATACTTATTTATGTATGTGTTTTCATGTAAATGAGTGCTCTATCTGAATGTACACCTGCACGATAGGAAGAGGACATCAGATCCAATTAGAGACGGTTGTGAGACACCTGTGGTTGCCTGGAACTGAACTCAGGACCTCTTGAAAAGCAGCCAGTGCTCTTAACCACTGAGCCATCTCTCCAGCCCTTAAACTTCATTCTTATTTACCATAAATCATTTCAAATTTCTTTAAAATGTGTAAATATAAGATCTCAATGCAAAACATTCAAACTCACACCCGTCTAATTAATAAATCACCAAAAGGTGTTATCAACTGTTAAAACACCTTTAGCCCTATTCACACACATACACAGAGTAGCTACATCACTTTATCTTCCATTCAAACAGAGAGATATGTGGTGGGGGGGGCACTTTGGTCCCAGCAGAGGCAGGTGGAAATCTGTGAGTTCAAGGCCAGCAAGTTTGAGGACAGCCAGGCCTACCCAGAGAAACCCTGTCTCAAAAAGCAAACCAAACAGAGCTGTTTAGGGAGCATCTAGAGAGAAACCATAGCCCGAGGTAGACACAAGTCAGCTCCTCCTTAGTCCCAAGAGATGCAAGTCAGTTGCTAACACCAAACAGCAAATCACAACTCTGGGCTGTGAGGGCAGAGAGGGAATTAAGGTCAGGAAACCCTGCCAGTTAGAGAGCTCGTGTGCGTATGACAACAGCGTGTCGCACATGTGCCGGGGAGAACAGCGCTTCTCTAGCTAGACCCTTCCACTGCAGGGAAGCCACAGCCCGGAATCACCCAGCAGGCAGCGGTAGCATTTTGACAGTCTTTTTAAATCTCTGTTGCCCAAATCCTTTGGGCAGCTCCCTGCAAACACCCCAAGCCGACAGGGGGCAGCCTAACTCACCGGTCTTCAAAGCAGAGTGCAGGATCTGTGCTCCCGGAAGGGGTTGCTCCCAGCGGGAACACCGAGCAGCAGGGCGTCTTTGCAGGCATTCTGTATGCAGTACTGCTGAAGCTCCGCCGCGGCCTGGGAGACCTGAGGGAAGCACAAAGGGACACCGCTCACAGCAGGCCGGCAGCCCCCAGCCTACCGTGGACACCCGGCTCACAGCCAGGCCGGCGGCCCCCAGCCTACCGTGGGACACGGCTCACAGCCAGGCCAACGCCCCCCCAGCCTACCGTGGGACACGGCTCACAGCAGGCCGGCGGCCCCCAGCCTACAGTGGACACCGGGCTCACAGCCAGGCCGGCGGCCCTCTCCCCTCAACAGCCTGAGGCAGAACCCCATCATTATCAGCTCTACGCTGACTCCATCACTCACTCCCAGGAGGAAAGACTGTACTGTCTGTGACTGAGCTTAGGATACCTTTGGATTGCTTTAACAAAGGAAAGGCTCTAACTCTGATCCATTGAGAATTCTAGTTTGAGACAGAATTAGTAAAATGGCTCATTCTCATGTTCCCAGTACAAACATGCAAAACATGTCCTGATAATCTACATTTGCCATGTGAATAATTTGCTTTGTCCAGTCTGTGCCAGCAAGTGACAGAATTACTCTACTATGCTTTCAGAAAGCTCGGCTTGCTGGTTAAAGCTGTGTTCTCTGCAGCTGGGGGGTGGGGGGAGCTCGGTGACAGAATGCTTGCCTCGCACAAGTAAGGCCCTGGAGACAGTCCCTAGCACAAAACACAAGAATAATAATGCTGCTGATAGTAGTCATTATCATAATAGTAAACAAAACCAGGGCAGTTATGTAGTGGCCATGGGTTTCTATGTTGACATATAATCTCCACTCTGCCAGGTGGAAACTTGTTTATGTGTTTTATGTATTTTGCCTGCATGTACACCTGCACCCCAGCAGAGGGCACTGGATTCCACCAGACAACAGTTGTGAGCCACTGTGTTGTTGCTGGGAACTGAACTCAGGACCTTAGGAAGAAGAGCCAGTGCTCTTAACCACTGAGCTATCTCTCCAGCCCAAGAGGGTAGAACCTTAAAACCATTACATAGGTGTTTGCTTCAAGGCTCATCTTTGGGGGGAGTTTGGTATTAAAGTCATCAGGGTGGGGGCCCTTGACTAAATACTGGAGGCGCTATCTGGAGGAGGCCAGAGCGGGACAGACACAGGCATGCGTGCTCCCTGCCTCCCATCATGAAAGTCCCTGTGCTGCCTTGGCAAGAGGCTAGCTAAAAAAGGGCGCCATCAGATGCAAACCCTCTAGACCTTGGACCCTTCAGAAACATAAGCTAAAAAAAACTTGTCTTCTTCACATTACTCTGTGGCGCTTAGCAATTAGCAACAGAAAACAGACTAATAAAATTATGTTACGTCTGCCTGCCATATGCTTACAGGTGCTACCAAGCTTCTGAAAGGCCTTATGGATTTGCTTTTAGTGCTAACATTTTTAATTGGTAGTATATAAAGTACAATATGACCAGACTAATGTTTAAGCTAATTTTTTCCGTCAATTGAAACTCAGTGGTTTCACATTAATTATAACTGGAATGAATGGCTTTATGTAAGCTTCTGATTTTCAGAGAAATGCAAAACCAGTCATGCCCCTGCTTACTGTGTGTCGGGGAACTGGGTGAACTGGAGAAAGGGGAACCAGACCCCAGCATAAAGAACATGGCAGTAACAGTAAAGAAGGGGAAAAGCCAGCGAGGTCAGCCAGGACCCTCAGCAGGGTCCAGGGAGAGACTGTGTGGGAGAGAAACCCTCACAGCTCAAACCCTGTCGGCTGTCTCCTGCCAGGGAGGCTGGGTTGTCCCTGGGTTATCTGACTCCCGTCTCCAGAAGAGCCCTTGAGACAGCCCTGGGACAGGATGGTCCAAGCGTGCCAAGAGCTTCCAAGGCTGAGCCCTGAAATGAAGCTGACTACCTTCTGGAATGTGACTCCCTGTGAGTGCTGCCTGCATGCCCTGTTTCTGTTATCATGCACAATCCTTTCTCAAGTGTAGGAAGTCTCTTCCCTCAGTAATGTCCACAGGGTGCGCAGGCATTAGATTCAGTTTTCCTTCCAGGTCTGATGCCCAATGATATCGAACACTTTGAGCAACTCTAGTTTTCGTTCCCTACATTCTCTCCTCGGCCTGATTCTCTGCCAGGAGCTCCAGCCAACACCCATAACTGCCCCAGGCGGGAAGGGTGTGGGACCACCTTCAGTCATCCAGGGTGCAGCTTTATTCTCTTGCGCCGAGCGACCACTAGCTGTCGCTGCTCCCTGTGTGTCACCAGCAGCCGCTGACTGCACGCCCTCTATCCGGTCTGGGTTCAGCCTTTTCCAGCCAGACTTCAAGCTCCTCGGCCTCTGAGCCCACCCCTCCTCTCCCGAGTACCTCCTGCCCACCCGCCACCTGGATCAAGCTCCCTCAGATTCCTCGGCGGTCAGGTGCCGGCGAGGAAAAAGGAACCACAGTGGTACAGGCCTCCTAAGTGCGAGTTTAGGGTGTGACTGCTCGGGCCGGTGAGCTCCACTGTGGCCAGCAAGCACTTCCTCCGCCCTTTGCTAGTTCCCCGTCCACTGTCCTGGACGAAAACTCAGCTTCCTGTTTCTCAAGACTGCCACCACCAAGCCCAGTCATCTACAGTCTGAGGCACTCTGCACACAACTTCACCTCCCACCGTCCCGGAAGAGGGCACCCCAACCGTGTCCCCTCTACATTCACCTTGCCTCCACTGGTTTCTTTCCTTGACAAAACAACGACAAAATAAATAAATCCTTCCTGTCACCCAAAACCCTCTTTATTTTCCGAGTAAAAAAGGGAGCTAGTTCCTCTTTAGAAGTGGGCATTTTTCTAACTTGGGCCTCTTACGAAACCCAGAGCCTGCTTCCGCCACACCTTATTGTAACCGCCGGTCCCTTTACCCTGTAAACCTGGTTATCTGAAATCACTGTTTACTGGTTAGTTTACGGTATCGGCCCGAATGCCCTTTTCCCTGGAGCGGACACCACTGAGGAAACTGACCGGCACGCCTTCCCGCACACAGCGAATCACCTTAGCTGGCAAGCACACATTCAGCCCACGGAGTAAACACTGCCTGTGTCCGTGTTCTATCTCACGGGGGCCTGTCTGTCTGTCTGTGCACCGTGCCTGGTGCCTGAGGAGGCCAGAAGAGGGCATCGGGTCCCTTGAAACTGAAGTCACAGAAGCTGTGAGCCGGGAACTGAACCTGAGTCCTCCAAAACAGCTCTTCACCGCGGCACCTTCTCTCCAGCTCTATCTTTTACCGGTTTGTCTGACAATCCCTCCCACATCTCTGTCTTCTGGTGTACCCGGGGGCCGCTCTGCGTCTATTTCACGCTCGTATGTTTTAGTGGCCTCTTTCGGCCTTGCGCCGAGGGCTTCCGTGCACACAGCGAAATCTCTCCTGGGTGTCTCCGTAAAATCCACCGATCAGAACGGAACTCTGCTCCCCAAACTCTCCCCGTCGGCGCCCGCTCGGCGGTGGCGGCTGAGGAAGGCCGAGCGTCCTCCTCCCGCCTCGCTCGCTCGTTCCTCCGGCGGCCCCCGGCCCCGGCCGCCAGCGTGTCGCCCGCTCGGCGCTGACACGCCCACGGGGCCCTCCGACCGGGGCCGCGTCGCCGCGAGCGCCCGCGGGAGCCTGGGGACCCGCCCCGCGCGGCTCGCGGGCACCGAGGCCCCGGCGCGCGGACGCTCACCTTGATCCGCTCCACGCCGGCCTCCAGCTTGAGCTGCTCCACCAGGCGCTGCAGGGCGCTCACGCTGGCCCCGGAAGACATGGCGGCGACGGCTGCGCGCGGCGGCCCGGCTGGGCGGATCCGCGGCCGAGCGGGGCGCCGCCCCGGGGCGGGGAAGCCGCCGCGCCCGCCCCGCCGTCCCCCGGCGAGCCCGCCCAGGTGGCGCCTGCGCCGCCAGGGAAGAGCGAGCGATGCTCGTCTCGGCGTGGATACCCCTCGTCGGGCTCCGAAGAAAACCCGCGCTTTCGTTCCACCCTGCTAGACAACTCAGCCCCCAAAATACCGTGTTCTTACGGTTGTGGGGGAGCGGGTAGACGCCACAAACGGAGGCTGGCTTGTAGTGGACACCAGCCTTCCCTTAATGGCTGCTTGAAAGGGATTTGTTGCTGAAGTACCCTATTCCCGGCTGCTGAGTCTTCTCTGGACCTAAGGCACATCCAGAACAAGGTCACGCACAAAAACACACCCATAGTCGGTCTTCAGTGAGGTTTTCTTTTTTTCACTCTCAACCCTTCACATTGAGGCGTAGGAATTGATCATCCCTTTGGGGGTCATCTGAGGTCCTATGGCCGCTGCATCTCAGGTCACACACACACACACACAC